GTGTGTTGTGTGTGTGTTGTGTGTGTGTGTGTGTGTGTGTTGTGTGTGTGTGTGTGTTCTGCAGTTTAATTGCTCCTTGTTAGCAGTTGCACCATGGTACTTGTTTTGCCCCACTTTGTAATTGTGATGACCTGCCCCCTCTTTGGGATGCACCACCCTCCCCTGTCTTGCACTCTGTGTGTTTGCGGGCATACACGGCAGACCTTTTCATAATCAGGTGGTCACATGACCTGATTGTGGAAAGAGTGGTTCAGTCCCTCTGATAGGAGAAGAAGGAGTAAGTGAAAGGTAGGTGACAGAGATTATTAAAAAAAAAGGGAGGAGGACATGTGCGGGTGTCGTTGTTGCTATAATCATGTGTACTGGTTTCTCAGTACTGCTTCCCTCTATTGTTGGCAGGCCTTATGTTAATCGAGTCTGTTAGAGGGGCTTTGGTTGGGGGAGGTATTAACACTGCTCAGTATTGTTTCCTCTTCCCACACGTGCAGCCAGGGAATGAAGCAGTGAGTTTATTGTCTGCTTCTGTTATCTTTTTACGTCCAAAGTCAAATGAACAGATTTGAAACTCTTTCTCATTTACTGTCATGGGAAAAGTTTTCTTTGTAGATGATTGTCTTTGTCTTGTTTGGCCCAATACTATTCGTAGCTGTGCCTCTGGTGGCAGTGGTGATAGCGATGATAATTTATGTTGTGTCTCATTATTGTGTTTCTGTGCCTCTGAGCAGACACTCCCAACAGGGAGACGGTGCATCGGGGGTTATGATGAAGACGGCCTCCAGCGAGGAGGCTGCTGAGGAGATGGATAACAGAGAAGGTAAATTAACAGCAAGATAAACTAAACTTCTCTGGTTTACCCTATCAAGGAATAATCTCTTTTCACTATTATGTTTTACAGACTTGGCATTATTTCCATAATATGGGAAATTGTTTCCTTAAGGGAATACACTTTAAATGTACAATAAGATATAAGACTAATCAAAACAGAAAGTTGCATTGGGGGAAATAGAGTGATCAGAAACATTTCTCTGAAAAACATATTTGAGTCTAAGAATAAAATCAAACCATCTCTCTTTGACCAGATGCACCATCCTCAGCTGATGTGTCAGGGGGCTCCAATCAGAGGAGAAAGTTGACAGCTCCCCCAATGAATGTGTCACTGGACCGCAGTGAGGGGTCTCTTCTCTCAGAAGATGTCCTGGACACTGAGGACGATGCCTTGGATACTGGAGATGACCTGGATGTCAATGTAGATGAGCTGGACAGTCCTGATGAGGCCGACTCACTGGAGTTCAACATACACGGTCAAACACCTGAAGACATAATACAAACATGCACACAGCCACACTGACATTACATTATTGTCTAAAAAAGTATAGTAAATAGTTATTGTCCTGTAAAATTATCTTTATTTCACAAACAGGTGACTCAGAAGAGTCAAATATGGATGCAGGAGCAGCATCAGGTGATGCGATTGCAGCACACAGAGCAGCTGAGGAGAGCAGGGAAAACCGTCTGTGGAGGAGTGTGGTGATCGGAGAGCAGGAGCATCGCATTGACATGAAGTGCATTGAGCCATTCAAAAGAGTCATTTCTCATGGAGGTACGCAAATACAAATGTTTAAAAGCTGTACCTGTTTCTTTATGTTTCATATCCTTTTATCATATTGAGTCTAGTGATGCTCTGCCTTTTGACAGTTGGTGTGTCTTCCCTCGTTCATGATTAAATTAACTTATAGTAAATCATTTCCAACTCAATGTTAGAAATGACTAAGTGGTGGATAACTGTGAAACCCATTGTCTCTTTTTATTTTGTCAGGTTATTATGCTGAACAAAATGCCATCATCGTGTTTGCAGCATGCTTCCTACCAGACAGCGACTTTGACAATTACAATTATGTAATGGAAAACCTTTTTCTGTAAGTATACCTATGCTTCATGATGTAGTGTAATACAAGCCCACATGAAATGATGTCTTGATTTGTTGCACAAAGATTTTCCTTCATCAGAGCATAGGGGCCACATCAAACCATTAAAAAACAGTTCTGACCAAAACGGCTCACTTAAATGTGAACTTGGAATTGATTATTTACTGTATTTTATACAATTCAATTAACTAGAAAAACACTGGTGTTTCTTTTGCAGCAGTTATTATGTATTATCGTCCTTACAAAGCATTTTCTATGTCTGCGTAGGTATGTAATAAGTACGTTGGAACTAATGGTGGCAGAAGATTACATGATTGTTTACCTGAATGGTGCCACACCTCGCAGAAGGATGCCGGGCTTTACCTGGATGAAAAAGTGCTACCAAATGATAGACAGAAGGTAATATACAAACAAGAAAATGCAATGTATAACTTTTATTATTAAAGCACACAAACATTTCTGTTTTAATTATATAAGCAAAAGTTGATATGCATACAATTATGGAAGCTCTGCTAGGCCTACATTATTTTGTAAATACTTTTTGACGATCGCTTGTGTTGTACCAGTAGGCCAGAAGGGGGCGTAGTAAACCATAGACTGTAGGGATAAACCTACTGCAAACCTTATTTTTTAAATGCTCAACAAAAGATGTGAGATGAACTCAGTTGTAGATTTTGTTTTAAAAGGGAATTATCTGTGTCAGTAAGTACTACCTAGTTCACTCAACCCTCTACTCCCTATACTGACAGACAGTCAGTTCACTGAGCTTTCATTTGAGACTTCAGATACTGAATGAATCATCATTTTGAGGCAGATCTATAAATGCTCAGATACTTGTGCTTCATTGATGTATAATGTTAAAACTCTGTAAATAATGTCAGTGACAGAAATAAATCATAGGAGCTTAGTTCTCTGTGTGTACTACCTCTTATCTTCATTCTACTCCTATAATAAAGTATACTTTACAGCAGCAAGCAGGAATGATACACATGGAATACCTAATAATAAGTCAATATGGTATTAGTTAAACCTTTACTAATCTTATTACACCACTACTGCTTCTCCTCACAGACTGAAGAAAAATCTTAAGATGTTCATCATTGTCCATCCTTCCTGGTTCATAAGGACTCTGCTGGGAATCACCAGACCCTTCATAAGGTTTCATTTTTGTAGTAAACATTTAGATGACACATACACACACATCATCACAGTAGTTGACAGGAAGCAAAGCGCAACAGAGGTTTAAATTTGTTTTAAATGTACACATTCCTCTTTTAACTTATATTCTACCAACAGTATGTGTTTCCAGGTTTTTATATTTAACTTTCTGCATCTATGGATTTACTTTTTTAAGTATTAGCACTTGACAACACTACAAATCAAAATACGACAACCTATTTGTCCAAAATCACATTTTGTTTACATTGGAAACACAATATTTCACATTAGTGATACAAACCCTATATGTTTCTGTCTCTGCAGCTCCAAGTTCAGCAGCAAGATAAAGTATGTGAACAGTCTGCGAGAGCTTGGAGAAATCATCCCTATGGAGTACGTCCACATTCCCCCCAGCATTGTAAAGTGAGTAAGCTCTTCTTAAAGTTTAACATATAAAACCACACATCACAAGTTGAAAACGATTACCCTTTCTTTTTTTTCTTGTGTGAAAACAATGTTTGTATTTCTTTGAGTTTTTGGAAAACCTACTGTCAGGAAAGCCCCTTCTTTTTTGTCTATTTTTTTGGTAACAGCCTGACACCTTAATCAATTGACAATGTAGCCATTGTTAGTACACTTCTTTAACCAATGCGTCCCCCTCCTTAGTATATTCAGTTTAAATCCTCAGTCATAGGATCATTTCTTTTGGCGGCTGTTTGTGGACTAAAACATTTCTCACTCTGCCCCAAGGTATGACGAGGAGAGGGGTATACACAAATTTGCATGCATGAGGTAAATCAACTAACTTGTCTGTAGCCTACTGACATTTTTTGAATTTTCACATGCAGGGACTAACCTTTTACTGACTATTGGCTGCCTTCTTCTTCAACATAAAATGAGAAAGATTTTGATTTGCTTATTTCTCTCAGTTTGTGATGTTCGTGTACTGTAGCTCGGTTAATATTTTTGTTAAATGTTAGTTGAGATCTAATGACCACATACAACATAAGTTATAAACCAACAAATAAACACAGTGACTTCCATACGTTTGTTTTCAATTCATCTGAAATGCATAATGTGACCGAATCATAGGAAAACATCAAGTTCTCTGTCGGTAGGAATTGTTGTAGGAATTGTTGCTGAGTTTCAGTCGACCTTACAGACGAGTAGCAGAGACTGGACTCTCTCATAATTGGCAGCAACGTATTACCAAAGTGTGAAATAATATGAGGTACAGTATTTTAACTGCAGCACGCTAATGATAGATTTCAGCGAGATGAGTTATCAAATCAAATCAAATCAAATCAAAGTTTATTTATAAAGCACATTTAAAAGGGATTTTTGGTCGGGCCAAAGTGCTGTACATGTAATAAATACTACAATCACATAAAAACACATTACTACAATCATAATAAAAGACAATAAATTACAACAGATATATAAAAAACACAGGGAAAAGTCAGGAGTCGTGCTCCGCTCTGACTAAAAGGCCAGGGAGAAGAAGTGTGTTNTTGGTTTTGTTGTTTTTATATTGTTATTTATTGTTGTTTTGTTTTTGTTTTTTATGGCGTGTACAGCACTTTGTTTCAGCTCCGGCTGTTTTGAAAAGGGCTTTATAAATAAAGTTGAGTTGAGTTGAGTTGAGTAGACTAAACAGCTGAGGACACTGAATCACATTTGTTGTAGCTTATGGCTCAGGGTCATCTACACCCTGAGAAGGATGTGTTCCAGGTGTCCCACAACAATAACTATCTCTGCCCAGTCGGTCATAAACTGGTAACAACAACAAAATGCTAGGGCAGCCCCTCCTTGAGGGAGATAGCGGCTGCCCAAGGCTGCTGGGCATCTGCGTCAGAGGGCGAAAGGTAAACATGTATACAGAATTATTCCCTGACAGTGTTAACAAACCAAGATGTATTACAATGTCTTGCATTCAGCCCTGCTCCTGCGTCTGAAATCATTCAAATTAATCAAATGAGCAAAATAAATGCTGAAAAATGTACCGAGGATGTCCAAAGTTTACGATACTATCATAGTCATAATAAAAACATGTTGGAAACATCCCTACATTATATTCCACTAAACAGTTTCGGCTGCTAATTAAAGCAACTTTAGCCTCTTTTCTACAATATCAACACATGAGTTACAAATGTATTTTTAATGAGCAGTTATTTCTTTATTTTAAAATAAAAATATGTTATGTACCATTGTGGAAGGACCACAGCTTTTTTGACTACAACATTACTGGTTTTAAACCCTTGTCAAAGACAACAGATTTGATAACTTATACATAGATTTGCAATGCGAACACTTTCTTAAACTGAAAAACAGTGAATACTGCCTTCTAATAATACTGACCATGGACTTCTTGGTGTTTTTGTAGTATGGGTTCCAGCCTATGCTCATCACCATCTCGAAGACTTCACCGGTACCGACGCAGGCCCAGCCGTAGTAGATCCCTGTGCCGATATCTGCAGGAAGATGGTCCACCACTGAGACTGGGAAGTTGGCTGGAGATGGGAGAGAGAAGAGGGGGAAGAATCAGAACCTGTTAGCATTAGAAAGTCTGACTTTTTTATTTAAAACAGAGAACACTTTTAGGAGAAACATTTACAAATGTATTCACTGTTTAGAAGCCCTGCATGGCTAGACATACTACTGTTCTGTAAATCTGATATGGATTGCTCAAGAATAATATATTCTTAAATGTAATGAAAGGACGTGTCCCCTGTTGTGGGATAAATCAAGCAACCTGTTTGACAGAAGTAATACGTGTTTTTACAGGATTTACAGTACAAGAGGGCCGGTCTGAGAATGTTCATATAACAAACAAAACAAACTATGTTTCTTGGACCTTGTGGCTTAATCATTTTTAGATTATGTAAAAGGTGTTACTTTATTATTACTCAATGCTTTGATGATTTTACATGAGAATATTTTCATTAGATTTTACACTTAAGTGATACATTATCTTTACTGCGTCATGTTATTAAGTTATTCTCCATTCATTTGCACGCTCACGACGCGTTTCTGGAAACATCCCTCATCTCATATAAACTATAATTTCGGTAAGTATCACAGCTTACATCATCTGTCAAGTTATCTTACTCAACTGACATTTACCCCAGTCCAAAAAACGGTGCGCACTCGAGAGCTGCTTAAAAAGCTGTCACTAATGCCGTCGGTAACTAAACCTTTGAAACCATTATACATGATAACTCAGGTAGGCCTACCAGCAGAATCGCCAGAGTGCACATTTGGGTAAATATGATATATAGATGTGTTGCATAACAACTACAGACAGTGGATGTTAATGATATAGTCTGGTTCTCTCTCTGATTAAGTTACTCTGGAGTCTGGAATCAATCAGACTGACCTAACGTTGTCTGCGGGAGCTATAGGTTAGCCACTTAAAAACCCATATATATTAATGGAAGATGATAAACTCACCAGTGGGGATCCCCAGTTCTTTGCTTCCTCTCCCGAAGCCTCGGACGACCTCTCCCCGGCAGAAATACGGAAGGCTCTTCATGACCGCTAGCTTCCCGATAACAGCTGGCTAGATGGACGCTACAGAATGACCTCGAACAAGACAAGGAAGTCGGACTGGTAAATCACCAGCAGCACCACCTAGCAACTCTTCTGACAATCAACAAAACCAGAATCTCCCCCGGTACAGTTCAAAGTCCGTCCTAGCACGAAGCTATACCTGCCTGGTTAGCTTGCTCGAGTTAGATAACGTTGATTGTCAATGAGCAACGACGGTAAAAGTTCACCAGCTAGGCTAGCTGCTGTTAGCTTCAATAGAGACTCCTGGTTCCTGAAACGGTTTTATCCGAATGTTTTGGGAGTTGAGTTCTCAACAAATGACGGTCCCGGTTTCGCTTAGTTCCACTCTCAGTATGTAAGTGACCATGAAGTAGTAGACATATTACATGTGTGGTGTAATAATATTACATCTGTAGTTACATATCAACGTCAGTAACACTGCTGCTGATGTCATAGACCGCGTGACCAAAGCGGACCGGTAGTCACGTGTTGTGTTCAGGTGTTGTAGGAAATACAGCTATTACGTGTGAGGCATTCACAGTCTCATCCGTGGAAATACTACGCAGGTTTTCTCATGTGGATGATTAATTTATAAGAAAAAAGTGTTGCACCTTTAGCGACGGGTCGCACGGCGAGTTTTAGGAGAGACGCAGTGTACTGTCGTTCCTATACATTCCTATTTGCGTTTTTGGAAATGTCTTGATGGTAGCCGGCCTTTTGACTTAAGTGCAAGGTTTGCTGGTAGTTTCCTGAATCAAACCACAAGAGGGCGACAAGAGGACTATGCTTCCCCTGGCACCCTAACCATGGCCTACTATATGACCATGGCTCAGGGAGCAACATACATTGACATATTGACTGTCAGTTAAATATAATTTAACAATTATTGCTTTCAGGCCTCGTTCAAATGCTTCCACATTGAAGTAATTGTTTACCAAACACCTGAATGTCCTTCTACATTAGTAGTTTGTGGGTTGTGAGTAGCCAATGTTTTTGGTAAATATATATATTTTTTAACTTGAACATTTTTAACATGATCCTGCTTTATGAATTGTGTTGTCTAACATAAACCAGGTCCTGGTTTTAAATTCTTACAGTGTTTAATTCCATCTCTATTTTTAATATGATTGCATACAAAGGTAGATATAGGTCCTGTATGCAACCTTTGGTACTATTGCCAGTTTAGCAATTCAGCTAGTCTCCACCTTAGTTACACTAATAAAGGTTTTTATGACTTCCTCCCTGAGATGTGTACATTCAAACAAGACGTAATCATGCCACACTAAAACCTCATGAATTCATTATGAGTGATTGCAATACTTATAGATATGTATAATTAAAGCAGGAGCATGCAGTAAGCACTGCAGGTATCTGTATTTTATATGAAGTCTAGACATTGTGCAAAAGAACAGTGTCTCTGGAAAATATCTATTTTCCAGCAAAAACAATGGCGCCAAACCTATACAGGAGTGACAAAATAATGATGTTAATGAAATTCTTCACTGTTGACACTGTCAACATAGATGAGATAATATCTGTGTTTTAATCTTACAAAAACAGTGAGAACTTTTGGTTATTAGGCAAGCACTGTGTTTATCGTAGTGTATTGTATATGGTGCTTTTTGACAGGAATGTCAAGGAGGAACACATCTTTAATTAAGTTAAACAACTTTAACAACAAATGAATACCTTGCAAGCAACAAACAAGTGTATACAAATATAATAAGAAAAGCATGTTAAAGTAGCTCTCTCTCTCTCTCTCTCTCACACACTCTCTCTCACACACTCTCTCTCACACTCTCTCTCTCTCTCTCTCACACACACACACACACACACACACACACACACACACACACACACACACACACACACACACACACACACACACACACACACACACACACACACACACACACGTACACGTCAAGTCAAACTAGCAATTGAAAGCATGCAATACGTTACTGCAGCTACAATGGCCCCGAGAGCTATACGCACTGCCACTTAAGACAAACGTAAATACAGAATCACATTGCATATACAGAGAACTTTGTGAAATCTGCATTCTATATTTGCCTATGTTCTTTATATATAGCATCTATGCAATTGCTTTTGTGTTCTGTTTTTGCAGAATGGTTCTGTATTTAGTTGTGTATTCTCAATTTGGAGCTTATGTGTTATGTTTCTGAGTTTTCTTTTGTTTTGTCTTTCTGCATGTGTTTAATTGAGTTTGCAGTGCACTGAACTTTAAGGGCAATCATAGATCCCTGCTATTTTGCTACCTTTAAGAGTGTAAGTACTTTCACAGTGACAGTGTTAGTGGAACAGCCTAGAGACAGCCTTTTAGAAGTTTCCAGAGATGTTGAGTGGGATGGTGGAATAATATAAAACTCACTGTGACAGGAGCCATCTGAACAATTGTAAACTATTCACACAACAGTTTGACTATTTGGTTTCATGCCATTACAAACATACCAGACATTTACAGTACAAATACTTTTTTTGTTATTGGATCAACTTTTTTGTAAACCTTTAATACCTAAAACTATGGTCAGAATAGAGTATCCCTTAACATTACAGTCCACACCAATAACCAATTGCCAAAGCAAAATACGTGTTTATTTGTGAACAGATGGGATGTAATAAAACCTCTCTTTTCATGTGTTTGGTAATAAGGTAAAAGTTATAAGCCTTTCTACGTCTTCGAGGAATCCACACTTATTATTACCACGGTTTACAAAAGGTACAGATGGCAACTGGCAGGGTAGATTAATACATGAGTTAAAAATAAGCCTGTTAGTAATTTCTCCAAAGTAAATGACACAATAATACAAGTTTTGTTCAAATTAAAGATTAAGACAAAGGAAATAAAAGCTGCAGAATGTGTAACACAATCAAGTGCTGTGTGATACAGGATAAAGCATCTTCCCTTCAGCACAGTGACAGTCTCTGCACTGTAAATACAGTATTATGTCCAGCACCCTCAGGTTGGTACTCTGCTCAATGAACAAGCAGCTGCCTGATGTTTTGTACCACAGCATCTTCCTTTTTCTAACCATTTGCTAGTTGTTGTAACAACTATGTGCCGTACATGTCATGCTGCAGACTAGCTTATATTCAAATATGCTACAGCAGAGTACGGCATAATGCAGGGAGAAGACGGGCAGCAGTCCGGGATCTTTTACTGTCAGACAAAAGAGTTCCCCTTCTTGTCGGCTCTAAGGTGGGGAGAAGATGAAAGGAATAATTTTAATACATCTTTGTCATCATGGCATTAGAATTATACATTTATAGCAGGGGGATTGGCAAAAAAAAACTGAATGATATGTGAGAAATAAAAACAGAAGTCAGATCATAAACTGGATACCTCTGCAAGGGCTTCTTGCTTGTAGCAGATGCACATATATTATCGACTTCATTTAAACTGCACATCTAATTATATACAGCGTTTTTTTGTTAACACTGGTTACCAGGCCAGCTCTTAGATTTATTCGCAGTGGCACTTTTTGAAAGACAGTTTAATAAGCATATAATAAAACTCAGAGTGATGCGTCTGCTCTGCTGGAGGTTAAATATGATGCTCGCCTATGTCTACTCTAGACTAATCAAATACATTCTTTGGGACAATTTAGTTGTTAGAATTAGATTAGTATACTTTTTAGGATGTATGTTAGTTATTATGTAGGTTCTAAATGTTTCTGTACAATAAATGAACTCAAGACAATTCTAGTAAGATATATTTCAAATACCTTTTCTTTTCTGTATAGTCCCCTATTCTGAAGCTTCGGATAGCTTATTAGTATGTCCTATTTCTCATCTCCATTCTGTCTTATTATTGTACTTTGTATTTTAACTGATTGTAAATAAAATGAGTTGAATTGTCTTTGCCTTTATCAATTATCTTCCATTCTTCACTTATAAACACCGATTCATTCAATACAGCAGGAGACCGGCTTTGCTAAAGAATAAATTACCTCAGAAACCAGCCAAACACTAGCACATACTTTGTAGGCTAAAGACACATAATTGTTCAATGTTCTACTGCAGGGACATATCTAAAGTACACTTGTGCAATGTCAATATAATCTTAAATATAACATTTATTTTCTTGAGGCATATCCGTGCTGTATGTGTCCTTGTCTTGGCTAATCAGTACTTTATCACTAAGACCTGCTTGGGGTTTAAAGCAGTTAGTTGAGTAGATAAGACTTTTGGCCAGTCAAGTTATTCTATGATTGAAAGAGGCAGAGCTTAAGACAGATATACAATATACAAAAACTCGGCACATTACTACAGGAAAAAAGATTGTTACTATTAAAGAAAGTTGTGGTCTCAGCATGTTCTCGTTCAGTCTCTCTTAATCTCTGCAGTGTCTATACGTGCTGTTTGATTGGGTAAACACCTATTTTTTAATTTCTTTTTCTAATTCATCGAATGTTGGTGATTCAGCAATCATGTCCTTCTTTGTCTCTGTTAAATTCCCTTGCTGACAGAGAGTGGCCCACTACTTACTTAGCAGATGTGTCCTGCAATTCAGTATCCAGTCTGGTTAAGCATTAAGTTAGAGGGCAGAGAGCAAAGGTTAGTGAGGGAGGTGAACAGCTGACAGGGAGCAACCATATTGTCAGTACACATGCAGTTGCTGGGGATTAGTAGCCTGCTTCCAGACTGCCATTGGAGGGTGGATGAAAGGAATGGAAAACAAGCATCACTTCTCTAAGTTGGTAGTGTTTAAGGTTGAAAGAGAGAGCCCCAGATACACTGCAATGCATATTCAGGATAATTTACCAACATTAAACCAAAGAACATTGTGCCCTTATACAGTGAACACTTTTTCACAAACACTGGTTCTAGGTCAGTCTCTAGTTTTCAGACTCAAGACACCGTCCCTTCGATAATGAATAGAAATGAAGTATAATATAAGACAGCTTTAATTTTTCCATGTTCTCAGCATCGCTCTATTTTCATCAAAGCACCAGCAAGCATGTGTGTGTGTTAGGATGTTTGTTTGCAAAATAACTCCAAACAACAAACAGACACATACAAGTCATAAAACATATACAGTATGTTCCACAGAGATACGGCCCTCACCACAAGAAAACAACAGCATTGGTAATTTGTTTATTTTTTCTTGAATAGCAGCCTGGTAGTGGTGTACATGAATGTTCTCTAAGTATCAGATGTGTGAGACTGTGTTGGCGATTTACACCAACTACTATGTTTTGCTTTGGTGGTACCAATAAAGTCCCACCGAACAATTAACACTGCTACCTTTATGACTTAGTTTTAGTTATTGGTGGTTGCTGGCCAATAGTTTGTGCCCAGTCTCAAACACACGATGCTAATAGTTTTAACTGAGATCTATCTGCCACTCAATTCAAATGTCAACTCATTACAGCTATTGATGAACTTCTTGATAGAGATCAGATCCTGGCTGAGCCAACATTTCCTCAACCTCAATGAGAGCAAGACTGAGGTTATCTTTTTTGGACCCCAACCTCCAGCCTCCCAGGTTGATATTCTGGGCTCCCTCAAAAATAATATCCTCCCCTCTGTCACGAACCTTGGAGTGACCTTCAATAGCGCTTTTAAATTCGATAAGCAGTTCAGTACCGTAGTCAAAACCTGCTTTTTTAAAATACGACTATTGGCCAAGACCAAGTCATCTTTATCTTTTAAAGACCTGGAAAGGGTTATTAACGCCTTTGTTACCTCGAGGTTGGACTACTGCAACGCTCTGTACGTGGGTATGGACCAGGCGTCAATTAAACGCCTGCAGCTAGTGCAGAACGCAGCTGCACGTCTACTCACTGGCCACAAAAAGTGTGACCACATCACCCCAATTCTGGCCTCACTGCACTGGCTTCCAATTCGGTTCAGAATTGATTTTAAACTTCTTTTATTTGTTTTTAAAGCACTAAATGGGCTGGCTCCGACCTATATAGCTGAACTCCTCCAGCGCTACACCCCAGCCAGAGCTTTAAGGTCTGCTGACCAGCTGCACTTGATAGTTCCCAAGACCAGGCCCAAAACCCGAGGGCACCGAGCCTTCACAGCAGCTGGCCCTAGGCTCTGGAACACTCTGCCCCTCCATGTGAGCTCGGCCCAGACCCTAGGGGTTTTTAAATCTACTCTTAAAACACACTTCTTCTCCCTGGCCTTTTAGTCAGAGCGGAGCACGACTCCTGACTTTTCCCTGTGTTTTTTATATATCTGTTGTAATTTATTGTCTTTTATTATGATTGTAGTAATGTGTTTTTATGTGATTGTAGTATTTATTACATGTACAGCACTTTGGCCCGACCAAAAATCGCTTTTAAATGTGCTTTATAAATAAACTTTGATTTGATTTGATTATTGAGTTTACACGTTAACGTCACAGTCATATCTGAAGAACGAACCCAAACCTTGTTATTTGTATTACCAAATTGGTATCAAATAAATAGTAAGCATTGGTAATACCAATGCTGATGAAGTAAACTATNTGTGGTGTTTGTGGGGGAAACTTCTGTAGCATTGGAGTCAGGACTCAGAGAGACACGAGGACGGTAAACCTTCAGTGTTTGCCATCACAGCTCCAGCTCTCCGTCCTCGTGTCTCTCTGAGTCCTGACTCCAATGCTACAGAAGTTTCCCCCACAAACACCACAACAGGAATGTGGTGGTACAACACATTTGACAGTTCTCTTGTAAATATGACCTTTTTTCTTATAGGAGACTCATGTGATTCACACATTCAATGAGGACTTCTATGGAGAGATTCTCAATGTGGTCATGGTGGGCTACATTCGTCCAGAGAGGAGCTACGACTCACTTGGTATGAAATCCTTCCCTCTCATTCTCTCTCACGCTCATGCACTCACACAGTGGAATTCAATAGATGTATTGGAATGAAAGAAAAAAAAAAAAACTATTTTTCAAAAGCATTGAAATATAAATTGAACACATAAATAAAATACACAAAACCAATAATTTGAGCACTAACACAATACAGGTAACCGTTTTCCATTTGGATATTATTATAACTCACTCAAAGATCTAAAATATAACCCGGGTCCAGCTGTTTAATTATCCTCTTTACCCTCCATGATTTCCCACATCCTATACTCTCATTATTCTTCTCTTCGCACCTGACTTATTTTCTGCCTGTCTTCATTTCTCCCTAACAGAAGCGCTAATTGCAGCCATAAACAACGACATTGAGGAATCCAAGCTCAAGCTGGAGCTCCCGGAGCATCTCAAACTAAAAGAAGACAACTTCTTCACCAGCGTTACCAGCCTGTCGTCAGCACCGCCCCCCACGACCGCATCCACATCACAGACTATTATGAACGGTCACTAACAGCTGCCTATGACTGTACCACTTTGTGCACACACACACGTTCATCACACACCCCAGAACAACACAATGGTTTCTATTGACACACAGATGTTTGCACTCATTAACATGCACAGCCTCATACTGAGATCTCTAAGCTGTCACCATGACTGAACATAATGGTAAACAACCAACATTCTTTTTTTTTTTATTATTGTATTTTTCTTTCACTTCCTCCATGTGTCTCAACTATTTAAGTTCCTGTTTGTGTTTATTGCACACAACCAGTTAGATGTTTATTTGTATACATCCACACCAGATGGCCTCATATGCACAACTGTGTATGAATCTCTTGCTCCCACTGGTCCTGCTGTATATTTGGAATCTTTTATGTGAGAAGGTACCTAATGAGGTCACTTTATTTTGATCTGTAAATACCAAAAGACACTAATGGCCTGTAGTCCCGACTCTCGTCTCTCACTGGTTAAAGACACACATACGATACATGTTATTTCAAATGTTGGGCATTATTATCCATTAAAAAAAAGAACTGGTCGTACTGTTGGATGACTTTATGCAACAATGTGGCTAAATGCAATGAATAAGTGGAGATTAAATTATAACCTCTTTTAACTTTCTTCATGAGAAAACGATTTCCCTTCCAGTGGGGCACTCATTACCACTGCCCTAAAAATACGAATGACCCAATTACACTGGAATTAAATTTTGATTTGGGGTTTTTGATGCATTATGCAGGAAGAATATCGTATTGCTATGGTTATTTGATAACTAGCAAAAGTGATTATTGTTTAATGGAGATGAAGTGTTGGCTTTAGCTTGGCTGATGCTCTGACCTACAGTCCGTCAGTCACAGGTTGTTTGTGTGTGTGGTAAAACATTGATAGATGATATGGGATAACGTATAGGGTCACAGTACCCTGCTCTGATCTGTACAAAGTGTAACAGTCACACAAATGCACATTATATTCTTGATATATATATATATTACAGTTTTACCCTTTTTCCATTTGAATCTTTTATGTCAACAGAGACGTTGGAAAACAGTTTGGTCTGACGGGGGTCTGTGGGTGTGAACAACTGTTAAAAAATAACTCGAAACATTCTAACATACAACTACAATCTGTGTGTACAATTCTTTGATCCCCTGTAAATATATGTTTTAAATGAAGTAGTCATGTGACTGGGTTTAAAATCCGTATTGCATTTGTGTTATTTAGGGAGACATGACTGAAATGTATGAACGTGGACATTCATCATGCCACAGTACCTATGTTAATTTCCAAACAAGAGTTTAGCTGTTTTTCCCTCTATTATTACTCTGGTAGTTTGTGTTTGTTGCTTTTCTCAGTTTAGTTTCTTTACTGACAGGGAATGACAGAATCAACACAGGAAGCAGTACTTTCATCATGTTGACAACTGTCTGCTGTGTAAAGCTTTCGTACATAATGAATGCTACATTATTACCCATAAATTCATCCTCTAAAGCACTTAATGTACAGAATAAACTTCAGTGAAACTGTCAATTGTGATGCGCTTCTTCTTCTAACCGGTCGAAGATTTTAAGAGGAGCATTTTCATTGCATGTCTGGAGTAAGGCCTCATTTCTTGCAATTCATTATTGTAGTTCCTCTAGTTCAGTGGTTCTCAACTGGTGGGTCGCGGATGTGTGAGTGAAGAAAAAAAAAGTTGGAACTTTTATTTTGAAGGCCCGATTTTCTGACGCTGTGCATGCAATAGGCGTTGGACTGAAAGTACCCCGGAGACCATACACGGTTTTGAAAACTTCTGTCACGTAGTGATCATCTTCTTATGGAAGCCCATTTCCGCCACTTGAAAAAAATAAAATCCCCATAAAAAGTCATAATTATGAGATAAGAAAGTCGAAATAATGAGATAAAAAGTCATAATTATGAGATGCGCTGAAGTGGCGCTGTCTTCAAAGGTCCCTTCATCACCTTGCTGCTCTCCACCATGCAAACGGCATCTAGTCCTAAATAAGGTAACTATTACAGGTGACTTTTGTAAATGTTAGATGTTACATATAGCCTATATTTCAGCTAAACTACAACAATGCAGTTCATAGCTTAGACATGACCTGTTATGAACTATAATATATATGCCTATAGACTAGTTTTGTGGTAACGTTCACGCCACTAATGACAATAGTGTAGGCATACTGCTGCTGTGAGTTGCTAGCCTAACTCTAACCTGTGAACGTTACCATAAAACTATAGGCAATATTATTGTTCATAACAGGTCATGTCAAAGCTATGAACTGCATTGTTGTTTACATTTTTACAACAAAAATTGTAGGAAGACTTCCATATCTTCTCAATAAAACATCTTTGCGGATGTTTTCTCGAGTCTTCTGGCCAATGAGAATCAAGATTGTTGCTGGAAGTCCCCACGGAGAATAACT